ATGAGGTTGAATTCTTTCTCTTCTGCTAGTTAATGAACGAGAGTTGTAGATCACCTGGCTGTGATAGCCAAAACCAGAAGGGTTAGCAAGGAAGTTATAGGAAGAGAAATCTGTGTTTTTGAAGATATCTGAAGTAGCTTATAAAGCAGTTTCCTGAGATCTCTCTCTCTCTCTCTAGACAGACAGGAAACTATATATTTTGTTTTTTGAGACAGCATGAACTTTAAAAAACAGAACTAAAACATATAACTGCAGACGTAGCTTATTTATAAATTTCGCTTGGAGTCAGTAACAATTAACGAACGTAATCGCAAAGTATCATTAACATAGTAAGTTGAACCTAAGTAGAGACATGTTAATCTCAGACCCCATAGTGATGTAGTGTGATTTGAATAAACCCAAGCTTGAGTAGTAACTTACTGTAATGAATTCTAACACCTTTTAACCCCATAGGATAACAACTATAAAGTAACACTATGGATAGCTATATAACCAAAAAATTAGCATAGACAAGATATAAAAGAACATGCACATTAAGTAACCCTCAGGGAAGGATGGAACAGAATAGTCATTGCTGTCCCATGCCCCCAGACTCCTTACTCCCAGTGTGAGTGAAGACCAGATCCTGACTGAGAGACTTTCTCCCAGTTCTCCCTCTGACAGCGTAGATCGGAGACGCCGGACTTCGCTGAATCAACTTGACATGTATCTGACTGAGAGACTGTCAATAAGTTACTAACCAAGTGAGAACTCTTATTTGATTTCTTTGTCTGTTTTATTATCACTGTCAATTTTAACTTGTATTGTTATATTGTCTGTTTATTAACCTTTTTACTAACTGTCGTATGTGCAAACTATATCTTTTATTGATAAAAAAAGAATGAATTTTACTTACGTAAGTGAAACTTGTCATTATTTTCCTCCTAGCATCACCTCCTCAATCCCAAACCAACAAAGCCCAGTGGCTAATAAAGTTGCAGCGCTCAGTCATTCTGCAACTAAATTGATATACTCACAGTGCCCAGCTGGCCTATGACACCTGGAGTCAGTACAAAGCAGCGCAGGAGCCTGCATGGTACAGCTCTCTCCCACTCCTCACTGTGCTTGTGTTTTATGCAGTTAAACCATCATCTGTTTCCTACAACAGGTGCTTCACGGCTGGCTGCTGTAAACTGAGTCACAACACTAAGTCTTCAGCCAACACTAGCATTGTAAGAGCAAGAAACAGGCTGGCCAGCAACCAAGCTCATCACTGAGTTGGGAAGACTAGACCATTGAGACTCCCCTCGTTTTCTGGATTAAGGCCCTGTAGCTACCAGAATAGGGGAAATGGGATGTGGGGTTACCAAAACTAGGGAGAAATCCCCATCCCATTAAGGGAATGCTTTCCTTATTTCTGATAACAGGTTGCATGTCACAAAGTCTACAGGGTGGAGTAGAGGTCTTCAAAAGGGATCTCTAGCAAAAAAAAAAAAAAGGGGGGTTGTCAATAGACTGAAAACATTCATCCTTCCAAAAAGGGTTAATTCACACAGAATAGGCAATAAAAGTGTATCCAATTTAGCCATCTAATGCTGTGGACATTACTGAAGGACAATCTTCAACAGCCAGTCTCTTGGGGTGAGCTGACTAATGACCTAGTGAAAGCTTACGCATACAAAATCACGATTGGAAAGAGCTTGTCAAGCAAAAATTGTCTCCTGATGGCTGGGCCTCTGCATATACCGACAGAACCGTCAGCATGCCCTTTCCCTAAGTGACTGTCAAATGCTGTTGGCTGCTTTACCCAATTAAACTGTCAGGGGCAACCCACATCTTGCAACGAAGTGGATGCAGATGCAGGCAGAGGGGATAGCTCTGGGTACCATGCAGATAGTTCAAAGCTATCTCTTTGTTTTGGGTGCTAAATCAGCATGCATCCCCCTACATTACTGTTCCTTGTTCAAATGTAAATTCAGTAGACCATCATTCTTACTGCAGTGTCTAGTTTTTCCTGATAGTTTTATTTTCCAAAATGCCAATTAGCAGCCAGGAAAGATGGTCATGTCAGAACTAGCTTCTACAACAGTGCAAATAGTTATTTATTCACGGAAACCAGGTAATTCTAACCCTATGCCTTGGCAGGAAAACATCTGCTTAGCATGTACACAGGTTATAATTTGAATGTATGCAGATCTGTACATCTGGAAATATGGCACCAAGACACGTGCATTTAAATTTAATGGGCAATTAAAAAAAAGCGTCCTTCATAGAATTTTGTAGCCATCTATTTGCACACACAGATGCCATAATTGTCCATGCACAAGTGCACAATAGGCAGGGATCTGGGTTTTCCATTTCCCACGAAAAAAACGTGGATTCGCTCTTTTACCTGAGAAAAAGGTAGACTTTTCATTTTAATGGAGAAACATGAATTTTGCAGAGCTCCAGCCTGAATGGGGCTGGGGGAAGCAGGAGGAGGGCGGTCAAGCCAGGGGTGCCATGTGCATGTATATGCACACGGCCACCAGGCAGCCTGGAGAACAGCTCCCGCAGGTGGGGGCGGGGAGGGAGGGGGTGGATTGAGGCCCCCATAGGGAGGGAGGGAGTTGGGCTGGGGCTGGGGCTGCTGCCCGGCCAGGCAGTGTGTGGGGCTTGGGGGCCAGGGCTGGAATGTGCACCCACAGCACCCCAGTGGAGAGTGGGACGGCCACGGGTGACTGGGGGGGCGGGGCTATCTTCCCACCACTGCATACCCCCAGGGGAACAGGGGGGACCTGTGCCCTGTGCCCCCCAGATCTGTGCACGGGGCAGATGCGGGCTGTTGGCTGCAGGCTTGGGCTGCCTGCCCTGCTGCCCTCCTCCAGGGCTTCCACAGCTCAGCAGATGGGACCCACCGTGGCAAGGCAGAGCAGGGCTGGATGGGGAGAGTTCCATGCTGCTGCTGGGAGCTCCACGCCACCCTGGCAAGGCACCCCCACCACCCTGGCAAGGCACCCCCGGCAGCAGTGGGGGCAGCAGCACAGGGTTGTGCCCCTTGCTGCTGCCAGGCAGGCAGGGTGCACATCACCAGGGCAGCACGGAGCATGCAGTAGCAAGGAGCTTCCTTGCCTGGTCCCACTCTGCCCTGGTCCCACCCACTGGGCTATGGAGGTCCCGGGGCAGGGCAGCAGGGTGGAGACCCAAGCCTGAAGCTGGCAGCCCACCCCCACCCCGCACACAGATCTGGGGGGCACGGGTCCCCCCTAGCCCCCTACCTAAGCCGACAGTGGGCAGTCCGCGTCTGCCCCCCATGGGCTCTGCTCTGGCCGTGCCACCCATGAGGAAGGGGGAGCCAGCCTCTGGGCTCCACTCCACTGCAGCAGCTGCTGCCTCGCATGGGCAGCAGCCAGGACTCAGTTTCTGCTGCGGGTGACAAGGGACTGTGGACCTGGGTCCCTGGCCCTGTAGCCCTGGCAGCTGGGGGCCCCCTCCAGCAGGGCCAGGGGGGCGAGGGACACCAGCAGGGCTGGGGGGCTGTGGCTTGGGAGTAAGGGGCCTGGACCTGCCTTCTGTGAGCAAAGGGGGCAGGGGGACCTCTGATTTTCTATGAGAAAAAAACCAATATCAAATACCAAAATTTATAGGTATTTAGAATTTATTTTATTATAGTGATTGAGGCACAGGTAGACTTCCAATCTGTAAATAGATCAATAAAGATATATAGATATATCTATATTTGTGGTTTTTCATTTTAATCACAAATGTTGGGGGGTGGGGCTTATCAGAGAATTTGTGATTTTTTTAATCAGAGAAAAACAGGATCCCTGATAATAGGACACCAAACCAACAGGTCCAGGGGCCATATTTAGAGAAATCCGCAACCTTCAGGGAATGGCATTTCTATGCAGGGAGACCAGGCCTCCCTGTTGAAACATCTGGCTCTAAAGAGGCAACACAATGCAAAAATAAACCCCAGCTAGCACAAGTGATGACTGCATCACTGAATAAGATCAAGGACTTTTTGTATCAGACCCCAACACATCCATTTCTCAATGGCTGGCAAAGCTTGCAGTTGGTAAATGTATCCTAGTTACATCAGCGTGTCCTGGTTGCGCATACCAGGGATATTAAGCTAATACATACCTTGTGCATTCTGATATCTTCTGGAAGTATCTGGAATACAAGCAGAGAAGACTAATTAACAGCCTTTCCTCTTGATCCCACTCTCAGTAGCACAAAAACGAAACGTAATTGCAGGTGCAGCTTTAGATGGATGCAAGGGAGTAACAGACACCTGTTTGCCGGACCCTGCAATGCTTCCATGCAAAGACACCTCACTGACCTTGGTGGAAGTTCCATGTGTGAATGAATGACACCTTTAGGCCCTTAGGAAAGCAGAAAGTAAATTTTCCTTTAGTGGGTTTTTCATCATTCAGCCTCCAGCTCCACCATTTGCCTTCTCTTGTTTGCTGTTTAAGTACCTACATCCAAGTGATTCAAAGCCGTGCAAATGTAGTAGTCATTTGGCTTCCAAATCTTCTAACTATAAAACACATCTTGTGAAAACAAGACTACAGCTGTGTAAAGGTTTTTAAGACCCAGGTAGACAAAGCCTTGGCTGGGATGATCTAGTTGGGGCTGGTCCAGCTTTGAGCAGGGGCTTGGACTAGATGTGACCTCCTGAGGTCCCTTCAACCCTCGTTTTATATTATTTTACATGCACAGCTGCTGTGATTTAATACCAGGGGCAAACCCTTGGGTCTTTAGCACCAATGTCACAAATACTGCTTGAGCTCAAGAGGTACTGCAGTAATAAAGCAGGGATCCTGGTTTTCCATGATAAAAAAAAAAAAAAATCATAACTTCTCTGATAAAACCCCCCAAATCCATGATTAAAATAAAAGGCCCTTCACTCCCCACCACAACCACCCCAGCCCTGCTGGTGCCCTTCACTCCCCCCCACCCCACCCAGCCTAGTGTGTTCATAATTTAAAAAAAAAAAAAATGCAACTCCAGCAGGAGGCAAAAGCAAAGAGGTGGTATATCTTACCAGGGATTCATGGCAGATTGACTTTCTAGTAAAGAATCCAGACCATCCAAGTTACTTTGAAGCCTGTTGCTAATACTGTCAACCTTTTGCTCTCTGTACTGAACTTTTGCTATTAAATTTGCCATTGCCCTCAGAATTTCCTGCTCAGTCTCCACAAATTCCTGTAACAAGACAGAGTAGGAAGATCACGTTCCTGTGAGGGGAAAGAAAATCACAAAGTATTGGGATAGCAAATGGTACCATCTGCTATCTCACAGTGTGTCCAGCTAGGAAGCCCAGGGCCTTGAGGCTGGAAACAGACCTTGCCTTTACACCACGCTAGCAGTTTTTGCAATGGCACAACATGAAAGCAAATAGATGTCCATGTTCTTTGTCATGTCACAAATGCCTTTGTGGTTGCAGCAGAAAGCAGTAATAATTTGTGCTGCTTTTTCATGGCGGATGTCTATTTGCTTTATGCCAAGAGAGTGCAGGCAGCCTGGAGCTGCCCATGTTCTCCAGCTGCCCTCAGCAGGCACCCCCCAAAATCTCTGCAGCACATCTGAGATCAGATCTCAGAGCTCCAGGCTTGCAAAGATGAGCCTTGAGAGAGGCTCAGGACCACATCTCAGAGTGGGGAACACGTTGCCTGTTGTCCTGCAGGATCAATAAGCAGGACAATGGGCAATGTGCATTTCACTTATTGAAGTGAATCAGCTGTGCAAGGACACATCCCACCATAGAGGATCCGCTTTATTTGGCAGTGTCAATTTACACCCGCTTCTGAAACCAACCTTTGTGCAAATTTTTCACTGGGTCCTTTTTCCTGGCTCATTCAACAGGATGCAAAACTTGCCCTTCTGCTCAAATGATCTGCCCTGAAATATCTAAGGGGTATTTCCATTAAGTTCTCGTTTAACATAAAGGTTCTTCCCAGTCTGAACAGTATTAAGAGATTGGCAATCTGGATTTGAAGGTACAGCAGTGTGGCACAGATTTAAAGAAGGATGGCCACTTTTAGCTAGGTTTGAACCTCGGATAAGCAAAATAAAGCATAATCTAGAACTATTTGCAATCAGGATTTTTATGCAGAGCTAGACAGAGATCATTTTCTGTATTCTCCCAGCGTGATAGGCGATTACAATTGTTTCACACAGAACAGGTGCTCTTAGAAGAAATATAGAGCAGTATTGACAGTACAAACCATTCTTTTTTGCATGTAAACCAAAATATTTTCATTGCTAAAAAGTACCATGTACAACAGAGTTGTAACTTACCTTTTGAATGCAACTGTCCTCTGACCATGCCTTCAGAAGAAGTTCTAAAAT